GGCCAGAGTCCAGCTTGTTAATCATTAACCTAGGACTGAGCATCTGCTGCCCGTATTCAGAATTAGTTTATCATTACCTCTAACTGCTGCCTTTTATGGTTCCAAGGAGCCTCTATGAAAGCTCTTATCACTGCCAAGCCTAATCTGCAGTACTAACGGGCGTGGGCGCAGTAGGCTGATATTTCATAGCTAGACTTGAATAAGTTTATGGTCAGTTGAAGAATTTTTAATCACAGCTGTTTTAGAAAGCAGAAAAACAGCAAGCAGCTTAGCCAAGGCAGTTTTTGAGTGGTGCTTAGAAGTTTACCTTCTTCTGGTTCATTTTGCAACTTCCCCCTCGGCAACTCCCCGTTACTCCATTTTGGTTTTGATGTTAGCGGTAGATGGGGTAGCATCACAGTTCCCTGGCAGGCGGGCCGGGCTGGCTCCGGCTGCATCTCCTTGGTGTCCTGTGCTCAAGCCTGAGAAGTGGCCCTGGGTAATTTTCAAAGATGCCTGCTGCCCTCTAGTTTCTCCATCATCTCCGTAACTGCTCTGATCAAGTTTCACCTTGTCGTCTTCCTCCTCACTCCTTTCTCTGCGTGTGGAAAACATTCATTTTTCTGACTGTCAGAGTATATACTAAAATAAATGAAAGCAGTGTACATCCAAAAACATGGTAGGAAATCTGGACAATATGAAGCCTTGGAAGAAAATGGCCTTTAAAAATGTAACTTTCAACATATAAACTGGGCTAATTTTCATTTTAGTGTCTGAAAACTGCTTTTTAACAATACTATAAAGGGCTCAGCATGCTCAAGTATGAGGGAATATTTGGCTACAAGTCCTTGAGTTTGACTCTGCTATAGCTGTAGGTTTAATAATTACAGTAAAACTTTTCTTAGCTGCCTGAAGGGTTTTTCTGGACCTTATTTACTAAAATAGGCAAGTTAGGGAAACTGTTTAATTTCTATTTCAACTGTTCCTTTTTTTTTTTAAGAAAATGAGTATGATTTGTGTTTTATTTATGGAAGGAAAGTTGCCCCCTCCCACCTCAAAAAGAACTGGAATTCCCTTATGACCCCGTTAAATGCCGCCATTGGGGTTGCTGATTCCAGGATAGCATCCACATGAATACATGCAATGTTAAAAGAATGTGGGCAACTAGTAGCGTGTACTTACATTTTAGTCTCCTGAACCAAGGGTTTATGAAACTAGTTGAAGAGTGTTTTATTGAAACAAGACAAATATTTATGAACAATCCAGAATCATCTGTTTTGAAATTTAAAGTGTGTGCCGAGTGGAGCCTGGGGTTCCAGGTGTTTCCTGTCTGAATTTGGATGGTTCTCCGCTGCTAGGGGCTAGTGGAGCTGTACTCTCCTAAGTTAAGAGGTTCAGAATCAGGCAGCTTCCCTGCTAATGCTTGAATGGCCGAGAGCTCCCAAGGCCGTACTACCTTTAACAAGAAGAAAGCCTTCCTGACACATGTATGTGTATGTATTCTGATGTATTGCATTTGTCACTTAATTTAAAATAAAAACATACACAAACTTGTTTACAGAAGGTGTGTGTGAACTCGTGCAAGTATATAAGCTCTGATTCTTAAACATATTCATACTAATCAGAGGTTTACTTTCTGGTTTCCCTGGCTTCTGTCTCCTTACCATCCCTGGTTCCTGTGAAATAGAAATATTATGTATTTGCCTGGACGGTTGGAAGCTGTTCATGTAAATACCGGCCGTTGTGATTTAACTGTCAGCCTGAAAGGCCCCCCTTCCGAAGGGCTTCTTTTAAACTGAGCACAATGAGGTGTCTGTTTTAGATGCAGCCAACAGAGTTTGGTCCAAATACATGGGTTTGTTTTCCGTTGGCCAGCAGGACAGCTTTTTCCAGCGTTCTCTGCTTTTGAGCGCTGGTGCCGTGGATGGTACTTCAGAGCAGTAAGAAATGTGGCCATCTTCTGCTTCCATCCTCTGATCTGCCTCAGGACAGCTGCCCCAGGGATGCGATTTCAGGAGGAGGTATGCAACAATCATTAACTCCAGGGGCGAGTGCAACATTAAAACTTTGCTCTCCAAAGACTGTCCAAATACAGAAGCAAGACCAAATGTGGGATCCAACACAATTCACCCAACCTGCAGCCAGTCTGAGGCTGTGGTTCCTGGACACCCTGGCCGTGGAAGGGGTGTCCTATGGGTACCAAGGTCTAAGGAGAGGTAGATTGAAAGGAGGACTGTATCTCTAGCATGGATGAGACGTGGCTGAAGGAGTGTCCTTGCTTCCTGTTTGGGCTCTTCTTTATTGGCATTGGCTCGAGTTTTCTTCAATAGACTTCATTCTGCCTACAGGTGGGGATGCAGGAGACCACCTAAGGACAAAGGTTTGCTCATTTGTTTTCTATTAGGGATAAGGGATGAATTTAAAATACAAAAAAGCACACAAAGGAAATCAGGTCACCAATTTCTACCACCACTCAAAGCATTTTACCACACATATCTTTTGTGTTTTGCCTTTTTGCCTTTTGTGCATATGTTGAAAGGTGATACATGAATAAATTTTTGTATTTTGGTGTTAAAATTGCAGAGTGCTGTACACATAACTATAGCCACCCTTAGGTCTACTTCCTCTCCCAGAAAACTAGACTGCTGTCACTGCAGAGCTGCATTTCTACTATGAATTGAATGTACATTCTTTCCATCTGTATTTCATACTGACATGATCTTTTTAATTTCCCTCTTATTCAAGGGTCTTTGCTACCATACAGCACAAACCATATCCACTGCCCTACTATTGGATATTTAGATTGTTTGAAGTTGTTTTGTTTTGACTTTTTTCCATGTGTTGCTGCTGTGAACCCCCTTGTGCATTTCCTTACGCATACAAGGTGCTGTTTCTTCTCAGATAGAAATATAGGAATGAACCTGCTGGCCCTGGGCAAGATCAGACTTTAAACATTCTGTGACAAGTTTTACATATCCACATATTGTATATATTGCAATTGTGCTAGATTTGTGGCTCAAGAATCAACAGAAGATGACTTGAAATTATACTATAAAGCTACTGTGATAAAATCAGCATGGCACTGCAAAAAAACAGACCAAAAGATCAGTGGAACAGACTAGAAGATGCAGACACAACCACAAAGACACTCAGCCACCTTATCTTTGACAAAGGGGCCAAACATGTTCACTGGAAGAAAGATAGCAGCTTTAATAAATGGTGCTGGAAAAACTGTATTTCCACAAGCTGAAAACTAAAACTAGACCCATGCCTATCACCATGCACCAAAATAAAGTCAAAATGGCTTAAAGATCTAAATATTACAGCAGAAACACTAGATCTATTAGAAGAGAAACTAGGTGGAAGTCTTGAAGATATAGGGGTAGGCAGAGAGTTCATGACCAAAAAACAAACTGCACAGGAAATACTTCAAAGAATCAACAAATGGGACCTCATGTTATTGAAAAGTTTTTGCACATCAATAGAAATCACCAACAGGGTGAAAAAGAAACCCATGAATTGGGAAAAAAATTTTAGTTAACTATCCCTCAGACAAAGGACTCTTTTCTAGAACATATAAAGAATTTTTTAGAAATCAGGTCCACCAAATTCAAAAACCCAATACAAAAATGGGCTTGTGAGATGATGAAGAAATACAAATGACAAATAAATACATGAAAAAATGTTCAACATCATTAGTCATTCAAGAAATGCAAATTAAAACAACACTGAGATTGCATCTCATCCCGGAAAGAATGTGTGTCATGAAGAAATCAACCAGTAACAAATGCTGGAGAGGCTGTGGGGGAAAAAGGAACCACTGTTGGTGGGAGTGTAGACTGGTGCAACCACTGTGGAAATCAGTCTGGAGATTCCTCAGTAAACTAGGATTAAAGGTCCCGTTCAACCCAGCTATTCTCCTCTTGTGTATTTTTCCAGAAGAACTGAAAGCATCATGTCACAATGATATATGTGCACCCATCTTACAGCAGCACAATTTGTAATAGCTAAATCTTGGAAACAAGGCAAGTGTCCATCCACTGAGGAATGGTTTAAAAAGATGTGGTATTTTTATGCAATGGAGTGTTACTCAGCTATAAAAAAGATAAACTAGAGGCTTTTATAGGTAAATGGATACAACTGGAGACCATACTCATAAGTGAAATAAATCAGACTTGCATGTGTAAACATCATATTGCCTCCCTACTATAAGAACCTGGAAGAGTAAATACAACCTGAAGGGTACAATAGATATTGTGAAAGGGAAAGTGCTCAAATAGGAAAGAGCAACTGGGATGAAGGAGAGGAAAGGAAAAAAAAAGAGAGAAATAATATATATACACACACAAGATAGCTAAGATAATTGTACTACTAACTTCTATTGATTTATTGAAAGAGCAGTTAATGTGTAATTGTTTGATCGGTTTTACATGTCTATATCTGGTTATGTGTGCAACCACTTTGAAGATAACATTATGTAATATTGTTAATATACTATCACCTTGTTTTCAAATTCTGTATCATTTTTATTGTTTTTATGCTGTTTTGTTTATGTATTTGTTATTTTGGTTTTTCTTTTCTCTTTGAAAAATAAGAGAATGAAAAACAAAATTTATATGTATATGTGAGGAGAGCTGGGATAGGCGTATTGCTGATGTCTATAGTTTATTGAATTTTAAGTTAATGCTTAAAATTCTCTTTTCTTGACCAAGTATCTGGTAATCAGAATGACAGATGTGAAGACAACAATATGCAATATAAAACCGTTGTTGAACTCCTACCATCTTCCATGGTGAAGCTCTGTATCGTTTCCAATGTTGTTTTTTATTACTTGTTACCGCCTTTGATTGTTTGATCAATCTTACATTCTTACATCTGTTGGACTGAGCAGCTTCGTTGAAGATAACAGTATGTAGTGTAGCAACCATTGTTAATTCCTATGATTTTGTTTTGGGGTCATGTATCGTTTTGTTGTTTCTGTGTTGATTTTGTTTTTGTCTTCATTGTGGTTTTGTTAGTTGTTTTTTTTTTTTTTCTCTTTAAGATTAAAAAAAAGAATCAACAGGAGGAAGGATGGAGTTAGCCTCAGGAGACAGAAGATGTGCAGTGCAGCTGTAGAACCTTCAAGCTAAATAGTTTGCCACACCTGTGGTGAATCTGTGAGGTATTTTCCTGAGTATCAGAATACTTGCTCTGATAAGAAACATTTGTTTGCAGCCTTTCCTCTCCAGACCCAAAGCCCCAGTGTCCAACAAATGAGCCAGTCATGGTAGAAGAAACAAATGGCTTTTTGTTGTTGCTTCTTCTTTCAAGGTGATCTGTTGTTTTCAAAACATTTGCAATTATTGCATCTAAGGAGGTGAGGGGGGCGGTGTTTTTCCTCAGGTGGAAACATTTGTGGTGGCTTTCAGAGCGTGCTGGAGAAGAACAGCACCGCGCCAGGATTCAAGGCAGGAAGTTGTCTGTTTGGTGTTGACTCAGGCATCTTTTGGCAAGAATTGAGTGTTCAACCAGAGCGAAAAGACAGCGTTTGGAATTGCTTGGGCAGTAAGGGAAGAGGCTGTTTTCCATCTGAAGCCCTAAAAGTCTGAATTCCCAATGTAAAAAAATAAAATAAATTTGGTGTGATCTTGCTGGATCATCTTCCCAGATGAGACACTTGTGCCCTGCAGGACTCAAAGCCTAGTTACTGGTAAGTTCGTAAATGTGGAGAATTATGTCTTGAGCAACAGTAGCCTAAGAGAAGCTCCCTGTGCTATTCAGTTCAGAGCCTTGGTTTTCATAGATGAAGGAGCTGATACAGTATGAGGTGACTGGCTTAATTCACATGTGTTGGAGAAATTAGGGCACGGTGCAGAGGACCAGATCTTCCACCTCCTCAGGGCTGAGACCGCATGGATCTGTGGCCCAGTGGGTCTGTCCCCAGCACCTTCTCAGCACCTGTCACAGGAGAGGTGCTCAATAGCCGTGTTATCCTGGAGTCATGCCAACCCTAGGGTGGCTCTTTTCCAGTTTAAAAGTGCAGGCGAAGTCATTTCCTCCAAGGGGGGCTTGGAAAATAAGAAGGGAAAAGTCAAATATAGAGAAACATAAATAGCAGAGTAAGCCTGTATGTTTTTATAATTATTACTTCTCTTTTGCCTCCTTCCACAAAGGATTTGAGGCAGCTTATGAAAGCTAAACACCAATACCAGTGCCCTCACTAGGCAGCAGGGCAAGACCTACCACGGGAGACTTACAGAGAACAGACGCTGAGAGGCCCAGGGGATGGAATTGTCTTTGCTGCTTACGCAGTTTTCAGGTCTGTCTGTATAAACCACAGTCATCATATATAAATAGAACTTGAGAGGGACATCAGTGGCTCTGTTGCCAATGGTTTATTTTTTTTTACTTTTTTCCTTTTCTTTTGGAGGAGGGATCCTTAGGAAGCGGGCTAGGGAAATGACTGGGAAAGAGAAAATAAAATATGTATTTCCCGACTTACTAGTTTTGTGTGCCATGCCCTCCTGTTTTACAAATTTCTACTAGAAAGCCCTATCTGTGGACATTTCCAGAGAAGTTAAAGACCTTCTTTCTAATTAAATTTACCAGCAGGCCCTACCTGGGAACTAGTACCCTCCGGTAACAAAAGGCTTCTTTGCGAGCCTCCCTTAAGGACAGACATCCACTCATTCCTAGATCCCCACCTAGTGGTGCCTTCGGTCACTGTTGTCTCATGCAAAGGAAGCCGCAGAACTGGTTCCAGCTGGAGGCACCACCATTGCCTGTTGCGTTGCTCTGAGATGAAACTGGCCACCATGATGACTGGGCCCTGCACAGAGAAACTTGGTTGGCTTTTCTCCTTTTCTTCGTTTGGTTTCCTTGGCTTCTTTGCTGCTGTCTCCAGATTTCTGGAGAGTGATGTAAGCCTGACCTTGGGCCTAAGGCTCTGATAACGAGGGGGAGGGAAGCCTTCTTGGGAAATTACTCTGCCCAAGGCTGCATTACTTGTTCAAAGCTGCACAGTAGGAGGGGCTTCTCTGCGGTGGCTGCAGCACAGGGGGTGCGGCCTGTAGGGGAGAGTGGTTTCTTTAAAGCCAGCGTCTAGTGCATAGCCGAGGCTGACGTGAAGAATGAGAAAGAGGGTGGTGCTGCAGCTTGGTTACAGAATTCTCTTAGAGGATCTGCCTTACAACTACTAATAAATGAGAGTTCCTTTCCATGCGCAGTTTTAGAGATTGGCTGAGGCTTTATTGAAGCCCATCATTTCTTTGCCAAGTGTTCATCTGCCAGTAGTGATTTCGCGTACGGCTGATTCTAATTAGACCCGATGTGATCAAACTCCATAACTTCTCCAAGTTACTGAAGTCATACGATCCACTTCTAAAACCATCAAGAAAACCCGGAGTAGGAAAAAGTAAGCTGTCATCTCCCAGTGCAGAAAAGCCCTGTTACTCTGCTTGGCCTGTGATTTACGTGTACAGTGTGGGACGCGGGGTGTGTACGTGTTAGAGAAAAAAATGATAATGAAGACGTGTGCTCCCACATACGTTTTGAACAAGATTTTCTTCCTGATACATCGTAGCCCGGTTGTACTGAGCGTCCTCTAAACCGTATCTCTGTCATTGTCATTAAGTACTTTTTGGCTGTAGTGCTTTTTTTAAGTGCTATGTGATCTTCAGTGTATTCCTGTCATGTAACTTCCCTTATTACTGGTGTCATTTTTGCTGCTGTAATGGGTGCTTTTATGTAAATCCTTCTGCCCACTTTGCATTTTCCCTAAGAATTAGAATGAGAGTTTTTGTGGTATTAACGTTGATGCCGCCTCTCAGGAAAATGGTACCTGTCCTTCTCCACAGATAGCACCCGAGCAAGTCTTTCTCCTGCCCTTTCCCAAGCGCAGAGTGCCAGTTAGTTTTAATCACTGCCGTGGTTGTTGAACAAGAACAATGGTATTTCACTGTTTAAATGATGAGCTGTTTGATGTCTAACTGGGCTAAGTGTTCATTTTTCACTACCTAACTGTATTTCTTTGGAGGAGCGTTTGTTATCCTCCCTGTCACTGGGTTGGGGTTTTCATCTTTAAAAAATGTATACAGATAAGCTTTATTTGTACCAGATGTCAGCCATTTCATCTTGCAGACATGCATTCCTAGTACACAGTTTGCTTTTTCCTGAGTCACGTGATCAGGAAGCTGCAGTGCTTTCCTGCGCTGCCCATTTGGCCTGACCACGTGGGGAGCCTGTGATTTCCCAGCCATTAGGCACCACTCGCGCTGCACCATCTCTGTGCCTTGAAAGTATCCCCTCTAACGTGCAAGTGTTGTCAAGGAAATGGTGTTAAGAGCAGGGCTTTTTCTTTTTTTTGGTTTTTCTCCAGTACCGGGAACCGAACTCATGACCTTGCACTTGCCAGGCAGGCGCTTTGCCGCTGAGCTAAATCCCCAGCCCCAAGAGCAGGGCTTTAACGGGACATTAGGCCAGAAGCCCCCCTCTCTTCTGAGTGGGTTGAAGGCCCTCGTAAAAGAAGCTCAGGAGCATGGGGTGGGGACTGGGCCTGGCTCTCCTGCCTGCTCCTTCCACCACATGAGGACCTGGAAAGACCCTTGCCAGACCTCTTGATGCTGCCTTGGCCTTGGACTGCCCACTTTCCAGAACTGTGAGAAAGAAATTTCTATATGAACTACTCAGTCTCTGATCAAGAGTAGGAAAGTTTTTTGAAGAGAGCAGTAGGTTTCGTAACCTAGTGCAGTTTAATTTTTTTTGCCTCAGATTTTTTAAGAGAATTGATTTTTCTTCACACTCACTTCATACTCCTCTTTAAAACAAAAAGCCATGAAAACCACTATAAACTTACACAATATGAAAAAGTTTTGCCTGTCAGAGTCCTTCCTTCCTTCTTTCTTTTCTTCTTTCCTTCCTTCCTTCCTTCCTTCCTTCCTTTATTTATTTAAGACTGTGTTCTTGCTTTATAGTTCAGGCTGACCTGGGACTTGCTCTGTACCCCAGGCCGGCCTTAAAGTCTTACTTCTCCTGCCTCAGCCTCCCGAGTGCTCACGTTACAAGCATGTGCCACTCTGTCCAGTCTCAGTGATCTTCTGATGGTGAAAAATAATGTTTATTTAATAAGCAAGTGATTTAATCCATCTTCAACGATTTGGTTAATAGAGTAGTTTCACAAGATGGACAGTTAGGCCATCCTCATTTTGGGACTAATAGGTCTGCTGGTTTGTCAAATAGAGTAAATTTTTTCTAATTTGATTAATCTGGAGTCCTGTGATTTTTGTTAGAAGGGTTTGTTGTTATATGTGTTGTTTTGCACTGTTTCTACCCAGTGTGTGTTAGATTGGTTCTATTAAAGCAGCAACAAACTTGACAACAGTCAGGAAAGTTGCACGAATTAAATTCTATGACTTTTAATTCTGAGCCAAATTCTGTGCCTTGAGTCCTGAATCAAAGCCTGAACTTGAAGGAACTCGGGTTTTTTTTGAAGGGTTCTATCCTATCCAAAAGGGCCCTAAATGATTGTTCATGGGAAACCAGTGACATAAATTGGCATGTGTACATAGAAGGATAGCCTATTTCTTAATTAAAAGAACAAAATCTTTGCCTTCAGCTGGGTAATCTCATACTCTTAAATTCCAGACCACCTCCCTCGGGTGTCATGCTATCTTAGAATAGGAATGGGGTTTGGCTATGTATCAAAAACTTGATAGAATATCATTTCCAGTGAGCCAGGGGCACTTGCTGGAGTAGTGCAGAAACCCCTTTTCACAGCACGAGCACACTTCGCATAAGCACATCTTTGTTTTGGGTTTTTTTTCCATACTTACTCTGAGAGACTTTCCCAGGAAACCTTCTGCTGTACTTGCCCCGTATCAATCAATCATATTAACTAATGTCATAAAAAATTATATGCATGCACTTTCATCTTTTTATGTAAAATCTAGTGACTTAAGTTGGAATAAAACTTCCCAAATAAAATGCAGTACAGGGTTGGGGGTGTAGCTCCGTGGTAGCGTGCCTGAGGCCCCGGGGTCCATCACCGGTGCTGCCAAAGAAGTAAGGCGTGGTGTGCATTTTGGACATGGGAAAAGCGGATTGTAGTTGTAGGGAGTTGAGTCAGAGCCTTACTTCATTTTTTGAAAACTTGGCACCCAGAAGATGGAGTCATCGCGGAATATGTCAGACCTGGACTCAGCATCCAGCAGTGACTTGGCAGAAGCAGCCCCAGTGAATAACGATGGTCGAAGAAAGACTGCTCAGACGCCCCGCAAGCCTGAGTGGAGTCTGCTGCTGCGGCTGAGATGTTGACTCCGAAAACATAACATTCTCTGTTTGGAACCAGAGAGGTTGCCATGGAGATGAAATCTTCCTGGAACCATAAAACCCCCGCTTGTCCTCGAATTGGAGCTCCGTATTTGCACAGGTGGTTCCTCACTGAGAAAGGCCAAGTGAAAACAAATCTATTCTTCCTGAATGGCGCCTTTATGTGTGCAAAAGAATATGCTTCCTTTCTTGAGCCCCTCCATTAAGGGCCTATTATCAGCCAATTACATCACATGTAAATTTTATGTGAGTTCGTTTGTTAGACCGCACTTGCAAACTAACCTGTTCTCTGTGTTAACCATCGCTATAACTTTGAATTAATGGTGAGAACAACAGACAGTGGGTGTTTTTCTGGGGAGGATAACCATGTACCCAAGAGACCTACATGCACTTTCGTGGCTGACAGTGTGATGTTAAATTCCATTTAATAAAGAAGGCAGAGTGCGAGTAACTGTATATCTAGCACATGTCCTGCGACTTTGTTCTCCTGCCACCACATCTGTATTCTCTGTGGAAAAGAAGTTCCACACCCACATTCCTGTTTCACTAAACTGTATTTCAGATGCAGAGGTTATCAACTCAAAAATGCATCTATCCAAGTCCTCGTCTACCCCCTCTTGCTCTCTTGCCTATGTGTCAGAGAGCAGAACTTGATCTATGTATAAATTTGGTATAAAAGCTTTAACTGTAGGTTTTTTATTTCAGTCAGTGATGCCTTTCTGGCCCCAAGAAGTTGAAAGCTTTTACCAAGTTTCTCGAGACCAGTTCTGTTGCACTGAGAGACTTGAGTTGAGACACAATAAATGCTGTGTTGTATTTTTGGAAAGGTACTTGTATTCTGTCATTTAAGACTTTGCGCCGTGCAGGGGGAAAGCATCAGATGATGTCCTGTATAATCAAAACCCATCACACCAGGAGAAAGGCAGTGTTTTTCACTGTGGATTGGGAAAGACTGAACAGACAGCAGTAGGAATAATATTTTGGAATAAAGAATGAATTTAAAGTGAATAATTTGCTCTTCTGAAGGCTGTTATATACAGAATGAAATCATGTGTCCTTGAGATTGAAAAATACAGAATCATCCATGTGTAATGTTAGATTTGGTTATGCATTTCCAGATGGTTAACCCACCCATCACTTGTAAATGGCACTCACACCAGATTTACAACCTCCATGGAATCTTCAGGTAAATAAAGGACTACTTATAGGTTTGCTTGTAAAGATAACACCTAATAGAGATTTGAAGGAGCCATTAAAAGCAAGTCTAGATTTAGCTTATAAAAGAAAGTCTGGTATCTAAAAATGGTTTTTTTAAAGGCTAACTTATCAGCATTCTTCATATGATGTTTTATGTTTATAGTAAAATGTTAAAATTTTAATGTTGATATCAAAAGAGCACTTGAGATAAAATTGTTTTTTAAAAATAAACCAAAACTAGCAACCATGTTAGTATGACATTCTCTGATCAGAATGGGTTTTTGTATACCCAGCCTCAGGAATGTAAATCACAGCTGTGCTTTTCCACCCGTCCACTTTGCACATATAAAATAATCTCATTTTTCTTACTTCTTTAAACAAGATTCAAATTACCTAGAATTACCTTTTCCCATAGAAAAGACATATGCAAAACACTGGCATAGCTGTGCCAGAAGGTGGCGCTCTGATACCACATGTCTTCATGATTTCTTTCACCTACAGACTTGGACTGTAGTCTCCTTCTAATTGAGCAGGCGCTACAATGCTCTGTAAGATGCCACACCGCTGATCTTTAGAAAAGCCAGACCTCCTGAGGGATTTGCTTTCAGTATGACTGTTTAACATCCTTGACCGAGCTCCTTGTTCTATAGCTGTATAGTTGAAATTTGCCAACTCTTCTGATTGCTGATTTTAAGATGCCAATTCCAACACTTCTAGTTTATCACAGTTCGTTGAAAAGAAAGATTTGTGTTAACTGCTTGTTTCTTTTTTGTAAGAATGTTTTTGGTTTATGTCTTATACAACAGAGAAACCACTTTGACGACAACAATAGTTATTAAACTATTGTTATGCTTTTATTATTTGATTATGAAATTTCGTCTTATTTTTCATAAAATGTTTGAAAAGATACCAGTTCCAGAACATCATGTATCACCAAGTAAGAACTCAGATAATGGAGCCTTACCTACTGGGGAGCCCACTGAGACTTAGAAAGATGAATATTAAGGAGAATTAATGAGGGGCTGGGGATTTAGCTCAGCAGCACAGCGCCTGCCCAGCAAGCGCAAGGTCATGAGTTCAATCCCTGGTACCAGAAAAAAAAACAAAAAAAAAAAACAAAATAAGTAGAATTAATGAAAATTAAAGAAACATTTTAGTGGGTAGTGGCCTTAACTTATGGAGAGCAAAGTATCTTTTCTCAGATTCAGTGGATAATTCTCCTGTTGTTGGAATCCATTTATTGAGACACTAAAGAACACCATTGTGGAAATGGGATCCTTTTTCTTTTTGTAAAAACCTATCATTTTGGCTGAAGCGAAGGTAGCATTTTGACTGAAAACGCAGTGATTGCTTCGGGATGAAGGCTTTACACTTAATTCTGTTGTGATTCTCCACTTGATGCTTCATGGTCCAACTGAACCAAGGTACATGTATCCTATGCAGCGCTTTATTTTCTTTTATTACCTATCGTTGGGTTTTTCTTTGCTTAATAACAACACTCCAAAAAAAGGTCGCATTTAGTTCACAAGCTGAAGACAAGTTGAGCTTAATTTTCTGATGGCTTCTGTTAGAGCTGAGATGACAGCATCACCTGCGTGTTTCGTTCTCATGAGATACGGAACCAGAGAGCCAGATTTAGCAGGGCTTTATTTTGATGCCGTGAGAGCCCAGCATTGTAGCCACCTCTGTTTCACACTTTGTTCATGCTTTTTACGTGGCAGGCACAGGCTCAGTGTGTGCTGAATGCATCTTGGCTAGATTAGAAGTGGGAGTGGCTGAAAATGAAGGAAAAACAGGTGGCCCTTCACATCTCTGGCTCAGCAGTCACTGATCAACCAACTGCAGTTTGAAAACGCTCCCCTGGGTTACATGTTTGCTGAGCATGTGCAGACATTTTTGTTGTCATCATTCCTTCAGCAACACTCAGTAATAACTACTCAGTACGTACATCATACCAGGAATTATGAGTATTCTAAAGTGTGCATACAGGGGGACGTATGTAGGTTATATGCAAACACTATGTCAGTTCGTACAAAGTACTTTGCGCATCCCTAGATTTTGATATCCACCTAAGGATCAGGACCCAAACTGCTGAAAACACCAGGGACAACTGTAGTTCGGAATCTTCGAGAGCCATCAAGGACAGAATAATGGTGACCTGTGTAAAGAAACAGTGAGGAATTGGAGCCAGGACACATGTGCCCTGTTTGGGTGATAGAGTCCACAGAACCTTTGAACAAACTGTGGGAACCTGTTTATTAAAAACAAATGGACCCTGACTGAAGGGTCTCACCTCTGAAGCCCTTGTCCCACGGGACAGTGGAAGGGACTTGAGGTGACCAGCTCAGGTAGGCTGTGGGCATGGTTTTAATTGGAGATGGAAATCAAGCAGAGTTGTCAGTGCTGTCATTAGGAAACCCACAACAAACCAGGACAGCTGAGTTTGGTGTTTACGTTATGCAACTCGCGTCAGATTCATGAAGCCGTGATCAGATTTTAGCAACATGTATAATGATAACCTGTCCCAGAAGTTCCAGAGATTTCAGGTATTTGAACTTCCTGCCTGGACTTTGGAGAGAGAAGACAAAGTAGACTCCAGAAAGGACATATAACACCATCCTTGCTCTTGAGAAATCGAGAGACAAGATTTGAATAGAGAGGGCAAAAGCCAATCAAACTAAATGAGGAAAAAAAAATAATACAGCTCCAAATGAGCGGAAGAGTCGTCGGATAAATTCACGTAGGCAACAGTGGATAGGTTAGACCTTAAAGAGAAATAGAAGCTTTAAGAGAGAGAATTTATGGAGAAAGAGGAGTTTCTTTAGAAAATATGGTTGTAGGGGACTAAGAAATGGCTGGGAATCTATTCAAAGGTGGTTTAAAGAGGGCGGTGCCGCTAGGTTGGCAGTGTGAACCGGCGGGTGGATAAACCAGGTTAGAAGAATGCCAGCTTGCAAGCATGAGGAGCTGGCCCAGAGTCCAGTCTATGGCAAGCAGCTATTGCTGGCTGGGGAAGAGTGTGTTAAGGTTGTGTTTTAGAGGGATTACTCTGGAAATGATGCCAACGTAGACTGGAGCCATGACGATTAACATTTGACAGTCCTAGTAATTCAGTTTAGAGGTTCTGGGCTGACAGGGAAAAGTGGGGACCTCTCACATAAAAATGGGTTGGGGAGGTATCAGAAGGCAGACTTAATAACACAAACTCACACACACACACACACACACACACACACACACACACACACACAGAGCAAGGGCTATCCTGATATTCCTAAAACTGGGTTTTCCAAACAGTGAAAGAAATCTAACCACAACAGTAATAATAGCTGATATCCTGTGGGTTTTCTGGCAACTGGCTCTAGTCTAGGCATGGAGTGGGTGTTAACTCAGTCCTCGCGTCTGTGCAGAGATAGGATGAGTTTTGTCATCATTTTACAAGCAAGGAAATGGCATCACAGAGAGGTTACATGATGCTATGAAGACACAACTAGAGGGCAGCACACCCCCCTTCTTCCCAGGCATGGGGCATTTTCAAGGATGCCATTTTGATCCCACACCGTTGACACATCAACTGTTTTGTAGCCTCTGGAGAATGACTCGGACAGTTTTAGAATTCAGATAGTGGCAGAAAATCCAAAGCTTATGGTTCACATCTAGAACACCTACCCTGAAGCATCACGGTAATAGTAACAGATGCTTCTGGAATGTTCTGGTGACGAGTTGAGGTCAGGACTCACAGGGATGTGAGTGACTGCGGGTCAGGGCTGAGGGCCTGGGAGGGTGGCGGCCTCCACATGTGAAAACCAGCTGGTGGCCGTGAGTGCCCATCATCGTCTGGAGACCACTCTGAGTGTTGGAGCTCTGTAACTTGCTCGGGGCTGAACCTGATCACTCTGTAGATTTCGCATGAAGGCTCAGTGAGGTCAAGACTCGCTGGTCTTGGTCACTAATGCATCTCTGTACCGTCGGTGGGAGCAGAGCCTAGTGCTGCCGGTGTCCCAGGGAGCCAGAGAGGAGGCATATGGTTGGCAAGTTACTAAGGGGATTCAGAACAAGCAGTCAAATTCTTATGGAGCCTAAGAACCAGCTGTGTGAATCGTTTACCCTTCTCACGTGGTGTCACTGGCCCTGAGAATCCCTTGGTTTCACCACAAGCAGCCACCGAGTATGATTTCTGCTCACACTGCGGCAGTCTCCTCAGCTTTTACCACAGAAAGCGGCAGCGAGTCCGACCAGTGATTCACACAGCCCCCACCTGCCGGCTTGTGTGGGTGTAAAGAGCTCCCCGCTGCATCTCTGTGGATTTGGAGCACTTTACCATCTCCTGTCGTGCTCCTGGAATGAAGCAGAGTTAGCTTTCAGTTCATAGCAAACAGTCATTGCTCAGGATGTAGCACTTCGGAAAAATGATATCCGCTGTACCGTTTCTCACGTATTGAGCTGGGAGGCGGGGGCGGGAATGAAGCTGTGCTCAGAGTCTTAGGTTCTCTTTTGCCTCTTAGTTGCCAACAGTATTTTCTGTGCCAGCTGCTCCACCAGCTACAATCACAAGCATGACAACCAGATGTCCTCCTCTGCCCGCTCAGGAGGTGAGGGCCTTCTTGGTTAGTCGGGGCATCGACAAGGTCTGGACCCTGAAGAAAGAAAGCAT